AACACACACACACACACACACACACACACACACACACACACACACACACACACACACACACACACACACACTCAATCTTACCATCTTATCGGACGTACATATTAATTAAGAGCAAAGATTGACACGTGTCAAGCATGACTTTGAATCTTTTCAGCAGCTTTCATTACAGAAAAAATGAAACACTATTCTTGTTTCACAAACTTTTCATTTTTGGAAATACAAAAAAGGAATCCGATGTAGGCTGAAATAGCAATGATGATAATAAGCTTATTATTGTTGTAAACAACTGCTACAAGGCTAATTGCAACACACATATAATGGGAAATAAATACAATGCTATCATATTAAGAACTAACTCCTACAGTACACTACATTGCAATACAGTATATATATATGTATGTATGTATGTATGTATGTATGTATACATACATCACGTTACATACATACATACATATATACATATATATATATATATATGTGTATATATAATGTATATCATATATTTATAATATATTATATCATATATACATATATATGTGTGTGTGTATATACATCTGTATGTGTATATATATATATGTATATCATATATCTATATATCATATCATATATCATTTATATATATATATATATATTTTATATATATATCAAGCCAGTTTTGTTGTTACAAAATGTACTTCTTCTTTCACTTTGGCCTTGTATTCTGACCTCTGTCCCCTTCAGACATTGGCTCCTCCCAACATGAGGTGAAGTCACAGTCGTTTAGACAAAATCCACAAGTCAATTAAAAAAAGTTAAAAAACTTGTGTCATTCAGAACAACACACTTCATCATGATCCATTAACCTCGACTTCTGATGTTGCTAGATATGATGTGTTGTCACCAGATCATATCCACATGCTGTAGAACTGCAGCTGCTGCAGGGAGATCAGGTCTGGCTACATGCACCTGACAATACTGTATGCCTGAGGTGATCTCCCTACACCAGAGACATGACTCACTCCACGCACATTCAGGCACAAGGCTGACATGACATTACAACAACATCAGGCTGGCCAGACGAGAAACCCGTAAAATAATTGAAATTGACAGGCCTTTACCATGCCCTGCTCTTGAATGCATGAACATGTGCAAAAATATACCTTGCAGATGCAAATAAAACTGAACTACAAGCAATCATTTAAGAACAATGAAACAATTTGGAAATGGACTTTGTGACAGACATTCAGAAGACACATGTAATAGTGCATTAATAACATCTTAAAGTTCAAATATGGGTATTATCTTCTATCTCTCTTTATATATCTTGCCTTGCCTTACAGAATGTTTCACTTAATTTGCAGAATCATAATGATTACTAAAAGAACAAACACTTCAGTGCAGTATGCATGCATAGCCTAAAATTGTGCAACTTGCAGCCCTCCCTCTGGTAGGTCCCCTACATGTAGACACTAGACCCTCCTCATAATTAAGTGCAGTTTAATCAACCAACATGGGTAAATGTCAGACATAAAGATTTTACCTACATTTAAGAGGCATATGGGACTGGCCGAAAAAAAATTTGTTTTGAATAGCGTTTCCTTCAAGCAGACGCTAGGGTGTGTCGTTAATTAGAAACAGCAGGGCATTGCGTGTTGTTAAAGTATGGGAGCTGTTTTGAACTGTGTTTGCAGCTAAAAGTCATGGTTGTCTCCGTTTTATTTCTCTGTAATTGGGCATGTGGTGTGCCATTATGTTCGTGATGATGCATGTTTTTTTTTCTTTTTACCGTAGCAGTTTTTATATTAAAGTAAATCCATATTTTAGAAACCACAATTCAGCCCCTGGCTGCCATGTGGGATTTGCTGTATGAAAACTGTTATGTATTTTAAATTGAACAAAACATTATTATAGAGTAAACGAGTACTATATACTAATTATTATTGAATAGCTGTTGCTGACATCTGAAAATTCCTGACCTGGTGCTGGTTCTTCCTCCCTCCCTTCCTCCCCATCTTCCTCCTGCTTGTTTCTCACCAGTCTCAGCTTCTTTAGCAGGTTAACAAAGCGCTGACCAATAGAGAGAGTAGGTGGCTCCTCCTCTTCTTCATCCTTTTAACAAAAAATTTAGAACACAAGAAAAATGCTAAAAGAAAACTTTATCATTGATAACACAAATATTAACTGATATATGTGATGTAGCAACACCTGAAGCTTCAGCACCAAGGATAACATCCATGTCCATAATATCACCAGGGTCCATAATATCGCCACCTTCAGAAATAGTGTGCTTAAAGATATTTTTACTGCAACATACCCTCGGTATGTACATTTGAGGTGTGCAGGAGTGCATACCAAAAGTATGTTGCAGTAAAAATATCTTAAAGCACACTATTTCTCAAGGTGGCGATATTATGGACCCTGGTGATATTATGGACACGGATGTTACATAGTAGTCCAGTGGCATAGCTGAAAAATTGTGCACTTTTGTCTGAAAGCACCAAATTTGGCACACATGTAGCTAAATGTAATCTAAGCAAATTTGGATATGGAGGCATTTATGAATTTTCAACCGAAGTAGTTGAGCTAGGTCGTTTGTGTTCTAAGAACCTAGCCTTCAGGGATCACAGACTTGATATCTATAGTATGTGACATCACAGAAGCGGTGGATTGCTCATTCCTTGACAAACACAGGAGCTGTACACTCAGTCAAAAATTTGGGTGAGTCCAATTTTTTGTGTTGGAAATTAGTTATGTCTTGCTCGGATGAAACCTGATGAATAATTAGCGGGGAAGAAACGTTTTTATTTAGCCTGGTGTGATCGCAAATCTTTAAATTGGATTTTCCAAATTAGTTATCATGAAGAGGTTTGCAATGGGAGCTGTTAGGGGTTTTTATGTCATACTTTGGATTAATTTTGTTTAGGACTTCGTTTCCACTGTTTTTTTCATTTTGTGACAGAATCAGCATACCAAACCTGGTTGACTGAGAGAGAGCAAGAAACGCAGAAAACTGGGAGGGGGGGGGGTGCCTGAACCAAAACCAAAATATCAAGTTGGCACAGCAGGAGGCACAGAGTGACATGCCCTTTTTACAAGGAGGTGGACACAATAAAAGGTGACCCCCCAACTTCACTTTTTTTTCAAACTGCTATCAAGGCCCACTAACCGGGAATTCATCAGACAGGATTTCACTAACTGGTTACATGTAAATTTATACTATGTAAAAATCTGATATGAACACTAGAGGTTTAATTTTAGCCGGCCGCGGGCTATCCCTGCTATTTACTAGTATCAGGTTTCATCCGGTTTCTAAAAGTCTGGTATGAACAGGGTCAATGATACAAAAGACATACACTGTACATGTAAAAGGAAAGTCAAGGAAACACTTACCAATGGCATACCCAGGTCAGTCAGCATGTCATCATGGAAGTAAAACATGGCCTCTCTCATGTCCATGGGTGTGGGACAGTCTTCATTCTCTTCATCATCTTTAAAATCCACTAGATGATTCATCTACAATCATAGGGAACATGTGCTGAGGATTTTCATGCAGAAATATATGTGAAAAATTGATTGGACAGACTCTCACTGCTCTGAGTCAGCATTTTCTTATAATGATCACAAATTTTCATCTGCAAATATTACTAAAAGTCTGGTCTCACTTGCTCTTGTGGTGAACACCTGAACTCTTTGGTCTTCCTGGCTGTGACAGCCACCGACATGTGCAGAGCACTCATCACCTCGTGGTAGCGCTCTGCTTGGTTCTGTGGGTGTGATACCAAATCATATGTGAGTTCTATCTGTTCTAGCTACAGCATCAGTGTCTTGGTTACCTTTGTCAAGAAGGTTATGTGTTAGGAGCATTTTATTATATAGGGGTTCCTGATTTTTAACCAATCATAACTCAGGGTGTGGTGAATGTACCCTAACGATATTTGGTACGTACAGGTTGGGGTAATGCAGCTTTTAGGGTAATGCAGCTGCATTCAATGGTTGAATTTTTTTTGACTAGACTTTTTTGGATCCCGTTTTATAGCCAAACAATAGTTTTGTTGTCTAACAAAAAAACACGGTCTCGGTTAAAGATACCCAAGCGAAGGTGGGTTTTGACTTTAAAAAACTCAAAGTCTACAGTTCAAAGTTGTCTAACAAAAAGACGCGGTCTAAAATCATGTTGATTGCCCAAGCACCAGCGGTTTGGGACTTATAGTCAACATGGTTTGGTGGTGGGCCGAGTTGACCAGGGCGGTGGGCCGAGTTGACCAAATTTGCGATGGGCCGAGTTAGTAATGGTCCGAGTCGTCCTGATTTCTTCCAGCAACACCCACTGTAGGTTTCTTACCATTTCCATTACACAAGCATCCCTTTCATGAGCTTTCATGTACATGTAGTTGTTTGTACAGAAGCTTGGCTTGGTTTTGTACCCTTTTCAGTTTATCTTGTCTTCTTTTGTGCATGGATCCCACACACATGTACTGTCACAGCATATTCTAGGTTTGGTCTTACAAGCGACAAGGTTTTGACACAAAGTAAATTCTATTTACAAACCTTTTGTACTTTACAGGCCCACTGGTCTCCGAATGCAACAATGGACTCCACCTTGTGCCTAAGATCATTGTCACATAGATGATGAAGCAGGTAGCACATCTGTAACAAGGTAAAAAAACATAATCGTCACGAGGTTTAAATTTCTAAACCTCCTTGATTATACAGCTACTCATGTCAACAAATTCACCAGCATGATGTCACAAAATAAAAAACATCTTCTTCTACATGTAATTTCTGTCTGCTACATCTCAACCATCAATCTCACCAAGGCATCAAAATTCCCTGGTGTCATACAAACATCACTAATAATATACACACCTGCAGTTTGACTGGTTCCACCAGACCCATTTGCAGCAGTCCATCAGGAACAGTGCCTGACATACACAATACAAAATGATTAGAGTCATCAGATGTAGTTAGTGTAACATCAACTGTAATAATTCTGCTGGGTACTCTTAGACTACAAATAAGAATCTAGGCAGGACGTACATGTAGTGCCCAAATTTAGCCCAACCAATAAGCACTTGGAAAAACCATTTGGTCGGCACAGTGTAAGTCTTCCACCAATTTCTTCATCAGGAACTTTTCAAAGTTTTCCCTAGGTATCGTTCTACAGTGAGTTTCCCTTGATCTACATTGAGGTTTCACTGGGTATTTCGCCGAGTTTTCCTATGGACAATATCCCAATCTGCTTTCGAATCTTGCGGGAGTCTGCCTTCAGTGGTGGGGTGTCAACCTTCGGGCTGCAGCCGCCAGGAGCGCAGTTTAGTCAGCGCTAGAACATTGTACACTGCACAAATTTTAAGTTTTACAACTTGATGCAAAAAGTAGTGCATTGCCGACAGACAATGTCTGATCTCACCTGATGCATAGTTCTCATCAAACACACCCGGGTGAATCAGGCTCAGAATCAGTCTCTTCTCATCATCATTCAAAATACCTGAGAAAATATACAATATCGAATATCTGATTCCTGAAGTGATTATTTCTAATAAACACTGATCAATTCTACATTGTTACACCCCTTGATACATGTACATGTGTTTTTGTTGCTCAACAATGAATTTGGGATTGAGATATTTGTTAGATGCAACAACAGTAATGCCACCAATAATGTAAACTTAAGAGTCTCAAAGTTTTCAGAACACCATGCTTTCCAAAACAATCAAGTCAGAAATTCCTAATGCTTTTGCAACAGTCATGAGAGATTTGTGCTACAGTGTTGTTTGCCAGAATATCAAGTAAACATCAGTTTCAGCTCAACATTTACACAATTATTCACAAGACAACTAAATAAACTTTGTTTTGCTGACCGTCAACTGTTTAGTAGTCAATCTTAAAAAACACCATATCTCCGGTAGTAGGACCATCAGTAGAAACAATCTGCAGACATCTGCAGTCCTACACACACTACATGTACGCAGTTAAGAACGAGAAAAAGCTATAGACTATAACGTTATATATATACAGTCATGTATATTAAGAAAAAAACTATTTGAACCATGCATTGTTGAACACCTATTTACTGGTTTCTGAAAAACTTGCATCTATAAAATATGTTGACAAACACCTACCAATGAGAAACAGCTTGTCCACAAGTTTTAAAGATGGACTGTAGAACAGACAGAAAAACATTGAAGAATCATCTCATTATAAAATTCTTTCAATAGAAAACAAAAACATCAAGATTAACAACCCGTCCAGTGGACGGCAAGGCTGGGCAACCAAATATTGACCAGATTGCTCAGCCCTGGCATAATGCCTAAAGAAGTGGAAAAGCTCCTGGACCAGCAATCCTTGAGCACTTATTCATTGACTAAGAGAATTTTATGTATCCATGATGAAATCCCCTGATTGAATGTGAATGAACCCCTCCGACACTGGCATGACGTCTTTTGATCCAACTACCAAGAATTCTAACCTGGTCGACTTGTACTTGGGCAAAGACCAGGTGAGATATGTGACTTACCTGAATCACGGTTCAGCAAGCTTAATGTAAAGATGACTTCAGATAATCAATTGTTCAGACATGGAGTGTGTTAACATACACAAAGAGGTTCTCCATGCTTCCTCCAGGTGGGTCCCTGCAATGAACACCTGCATGGACTGCAGCTGTCAGCTCCTCCAGGACATACTTTTTCAGTTCTATCAGGTCATATGGTGGGCTGCCAACAAACTTCAGGTCTCCACTGCACACAACACATTAGAGATACACAAGTGTGAACACCAAACCTTAGAATATCATGACATCAAACAATAAAATTCCCCTGGGAACAAATGACCTGTTTAAATTAAGGACTGATGCCATGTACATGTAACATTACCTACATGTACTCACTGTAGAGAGAAGGTAATGGCTGCACAGTGTGCATTTTGTTCAGTATTTTCATCTACCAGAGTATTTTTGTATTTCTTTTGTACTTCCCTATTCTAGCTGGTCTGGAGATTAGACAGCCTAAAATAAATGCAAAATTGTAAGGGAATCAAATCAATGACTATAACCTACTATATATAATTATATATAAATCTATGTTGAGCAATGGAAAGAGGGCCTCTTCTTTGACAAAACGAATTGAACTCTTCCATTATTCTTAGAGAGCCATTTCTGTATGGATTATGTAGCACAATATGCATTTCCTTTAATGGGAAATGTTCCTTCACTTTTACTTTGACTGAATGACTAGTGATCAAAGACATTCTATGCTCCTTTTTAGATCAATATTTAAAAACAATCTTTCTAAGACCCCATTCATACTAGACTTTCAAAAACCGGTTGAAACCACTAAATAATTAGTACCAGATTTTACATAACCAGTTTTGTAAAAATCCTGTCTGGTGAATATCCAATTAATCGGCCATGATTTTGCAGTTTGAACAAAAATAGTTCCTCTATCCTGCTCTTCCGATTGTTGTCCTTGGTCTTCTTGTATGCCGTCTTCAAGTTCCTTAACTCCGGCACTGATCTGTTATCTTCAGGAAACCATGATGCTCCCCCAACTAGACTGAAATTTCCAGGTAAATGTTTTTGTTTCGGTAGACCACGCAAAATGAAGAAAAAACATGGAAAAACAGTGGAAATGAACTCAAAACAGCACAATCAAAACAGCTTGAAGGTCGCACACAGCCCAGAAGCTGACCCGTAAACCCGGGAATTATGTTGTAAAAACTGGTTGAATAAACCCTTTCAGATCAGGTCACGAGGCAGTTTTTGAAAATCGGATTTAAGCCCCTAAAGAACTGGTTGATTTGCATAATCACACCAGGCTAAACAAAAAACATTTTTTTATTTAGCAGTTTCAAGTCTGGTATGAACAGGGTCTAAGCTGCTCTAGGTCTGACAGAAGAGGATAACTTGCCTTCAGTACTTTTTATTTTAAGTTGTTTAGGAATGAAACACTAAAAATCAGATGAAGTTTTCCATCTTTTCAACGACAGTCTCACATTTCTGTTATGAACTCTGGCTTGAGTACTGGTGGTCTGATAGAGGTGGATGGGCAGACACCAGGTAGAAATGGTTTCAGAGCTTCACAGTCCTCAAACAGGGTGATGGAGCGGGTCTGGTCACTCAGGGGCACGATGTACTCATTCTGGGTCATCATCCTGGTGGGAAAGATTCAGAACACCTGGGGTATCATTCAACATCAATAGAGATTTCATAGACAAAATTGAATCAAACCATAATCTTTTATTATTGATAAACATTCCTTGAAGCTGCATTATGTAACATTAGGATGATGCAAAAAGTAAATTTGCTGGTTTCTAGTTGAATCAACCCTACTCCATTGCAAATAAGTGCTATTCAGGAAGTGTACAATATGGACCTGGTGCCAAAGCTTGAAACACAGCTGTCCGCCATGTTTGTTTACATTTTCAAATTCACATTTTTTGATGGCACTACAGCCTCAGTGTACCTCATGTACGTGAACACCAAAGTGGAAGTAAATTACAAGTCAATTTTTGGTGCAAAAATGTTACATAATGCCCCTTTAATGGGCAATGCAAGTAAGACAGCCATTCAATCAGGCATTTATCACATTTTGAACAGGAAGATATGTGGTTATATATAATTACCTTGACTTGACCCTTGACTCCAGATGCATGTCAATCATGAGGTCATAGAAACCCTTCCTCAACAGTCCTGGGAGATCTGTGAAATACATACCTTTCTGTTCATCACTTTGTAAAGCAAAAAGTGAAAATAATCTGTTCAACACTGGACAATGCATTCAAAGACTAAACTAGAAAGGGACTTGGTTACTGTTAAGTATAGACAGATACAGTGCACCCCTCCCCTGAGTGTATAGTGAACGAGCCCCAGGGTCACAGAAAGTAGGGCCATCCAGGCAGAGAGTCTTCCCAAGGGTTTCCAGGAATGTGGGCATACATGTAGATGTGGGTCAGAGACATGCCTGTGGACATTCCATTCCTGTGGACAAAATGCCTGTACCATTCCTAGAATTCTTGCAAACTGCACACAATACTGTACCATTAGGCTCCTCCCTGAGACGTCGCCATAAATAAATGAAATATAACTAGCACTAGAGTGCGGCGATCTCATACCTCCATGACAGTTAAGTGCTTTTATATCTTTAGTATCACAAGAGCTACCTACATGTACCATCCAAAATTTATGTCCTTAGCATGTTCAGATCGTGAGATATCAAAACTTTGCGGAATTTGCACTGCAGTACCAAGGGAAGTCACTAGGAGGCCCAAAATGTAATCATTTCGAGTTTTCATGACACCCTACCGACGCATCAAGTATGAAACCAATCCATTCAGCCGTTCTTGAGTTATCTTGTTGATGAACAGACAGATGGACAGATGGACAAAAGCAACTGAAAATATAACCTCCATAACATGTCATGGAGGTAACTACAATGTATACAGGCCAACACTTGCCCGGGAGCAAATGCAGTAGATGTCTTCACCACAATCCCCCGTACCAAAAATGGACCTCCATGTAACCCCCTCCCGCACAAATGGACTGTTCCTAAATCACGCCTGTCCCTCAACAGAGACGAGGGGCGCCACAGACTTTCTGCAACCTATGATCCACTGCTCATGGAGTCACGTGTGTTATCTGTGTGACGTCACGGAAGCGGTGGATTGCTCATTCCTTGACAAAGACTGGAGTTGTACAGTCGAAAGTTTGGGTGAGTCCAATTTGTTGTGTTGGAAATTGCAGTTTAAACTTGCTTCATAATGCTTTCTACCGACACAGATGAACTTTCAAGATAAAAAACATTATAAATTGAAACACATATAAGAAAAGTCTGGGGGTTGTTGCAATGCCATGACATACATGTACTACATTTCAGGTTATAATTGGCTCAAAAGCGAAAGGGCTAAATCAACCTTATCAATGAAAGTGGCACAAAACAAGTCATCATCCAAAAAAGATGCATGTATTTTTCTACCTATGGTATCAGGAGTGAAATATAATGACCTGTTGACAAAAGGCTTATACATGTACATGTATGTTCATCATGATTATACAGTATACCAGTTATGGAGGTGGTACTCACATCTTGATCTAATACAGTACATGAGTTGTTCCCTGTCAATATGCTCAGTCAGGATGTGTGCGACTCTGTAGTTCCCCTCGGCACATACAGCACTGTACATTTTCAGTGTTCCAGCATGGAACCTACAGTAAAAACACATGTTAAGGGCATTACCATCATCCATCACAATATGTCTAGCTCTATTGTGATCAATTTACCACAGGATAAATGGGGATACATTTCATTTCTTAAAAAATCATTAAAAGAGTCAAGGGATGTAACTTCTAGAGCTACAGTACTGTAAGTTATAGTAATGTTTACTGCTAATCATCATTCAATTTTTCCTGCTAATTTTTTTTCAGGAAAAGGAGAAAAAATGATATAACATGTGATTATTCTATTCTAAAAACTTGCCCTAAATTTTAACTTCTTGGGTTAGATTTTTTCGAACTAGTCCAGAATTAGGGGTAGGTCGGAATTAGGGCACCCCCCGTTAATTGGTTTATACCAGTCCCATACATTGGGGTGATATTTGACCCAAATCCATGTTCACGTTTGATACCTGCCTATTCCACCAGGAGGATGCAGTGACGTAGTGTGTCACTAATCTAATTAACTGGCTATGAAATCACTACTCTGTTAACGTTAGTACATACATGTGTAAAAGAATATCTCCACGAAAAGAAAAGTATGAAGGGAAACCCGGAGGATGACTAATCACCTGAGAGAAGTCAGTAGGCTGTTGTCTGCATGTCAGTCCATCTGCATCACCACATTCATCATATTGTATTCGGAAGACATGTACTACATGTATGTACAATGTAGAACTAGACTAAATTAGATTTAGTGGACAGCCTACATGTACGTCACCACTGCATGGTATCAAACGTGAACATGGATTTGGGTCAAAATATCACCCCAATGTGTACAGGACCTGTATAAATGAATGAATGATCTTTTTGGCTGTATGGCTATGGCAAATAGGATTTTGGGTTGAAAGGCACCAAAAGTGAAATTACTTAACTTGTTCTTTTAAGTCTCTGACGTCTTCGAAGTCTATGCGCCAATCTGTCTGAATTATACCATCACAATTCTTTTAAAATAGGGGTTAGCAGGTCCAGATAAGATGGATGATTCTGGTTTCTATAGTACGCCAACATGTCAAGGGGTCACTGTGGTTGTGTTTGTGTGTGTGCTGGCACCTACATGTATAGCTCTTGAGGCTTGAATGTACTCAATCACTCAACACTACATGCATGTATCATTTCCAATGATTTTTGGAAAAGAGCTAACCTCAAGAGAATTTCATCATCAATCAGCTCCAGGAGATCCACACATTTGTGTTCCTCAGGAATGTAACAGGCCATAAATTGCACTGGAGGGAAAAAGAGAAACAGCCATACACAAATATGTCTTATAGTCACAGTCTTTTCATCATTTGCTGTAAAATACATATCAGATGGTAGACTTACAATATTGCAGGTTACAGAAAAAAAGAATTTCGAGCTCAGGCCTGCACTAATTCGTCAACTGCACAGTATTTCTGAACACTTAAGATGGCAGTGCAGGTTATCTATCCATATGGGCTTCCACTGTACATGTACATGTAATGTTTCCATACAAAGGGATAGGTACTCTGCATTGAACAGATACAATATGTATGAATGCACTGTATCATGTTTTATTGTGTTGATTGTGATGTTGCAAGAAGAACTAATAATAATAGTAAAGGATTATATCTGACCAGGCTCTATACACTCCATGTGATATCCCTTGGTTGGAGACTCTTTGAAGCTGCGCACGTCTAGGCACTTGGCTGGCATTCTCTTCCAGGAGGTCGGCTTGAGCAGCTGCATCTCCACCCTGGCTGGGCACTGAGGCACAGGGTTACCAGCCTCACTCTTGAAGTAGACTGCAGACAGCGGCAGGCAGGTCTGCAAATAACAGAAACAGTGAACACCAAGAGGGTACAGGAAGTGTGTATAAACATGTGGATTCCCTATTTGGTAAGTTATATTTCATTACCAATCTACTATCATTCAGTGGCCTCATTAGGGGCATGACAAAAAAGGTATACAGAGAAACATCAAGTTAAAGGTATGCAAGCTTCTATCTTGAATGTCATACGTATGTTTGTCTATCCCCCAAAATGATTCAGAAGTTGTTTGCTCTTTTTAGCTTATTTTCAAAAATGCCCTATCAGCTACAACATAGCTGTAATTTATGGGAATCACTTAAAACAAGCAGCACTTTAATTATGGAAAAACACTTTAATTATGGACTCCTCGCTAATAACTCTAAATTGCTTTACCCAATTAGGTTTATATTTTTTCTGAGTACATAGTAGAAGGTGACAAATATGTGGAGTGTGTTAATTAGTCCCTAGGGTATAGTCCAATTATACATAATTATACATGATTATACTATATTTATCTATAATCATGTATGATTATACATATTAGTTTTTCCATTATACATAATTATGTATATCCCTTTTGTATCATTATACATAATTATGTATATCCCTCTTGATCATTATACATAATTATGTATATTCCTTTTGATCATTATACATAATTATGTATATCCTTTTAACCATTATACATAATTATGCATATCCCTTTTAACCATTATATATAACTATGCATATCCATTTTGGTTATTATATATAATTATGCATATTAATTTTTACCATTATACCATAATATATGACTTTT